TATGGAATTGATGCTTTCAAGCGCTAGGCCCCTTTTTAAAAAGGAATTGATAGAGGTTGGATCAATAGTAATAGTTCAGATAGCCACAAATGGGATTGATGCATAGGCTGCAAGGAAGGGAATGCACAATTAGGACCAATAGGCTTCAACGAATACCTAATTTAGCATATTGTTCTTCATGGCTACCTTCAACAAGTATTTGTGCCTGTTTATTTGCCCTACAGCATTGATCCTTACTCACACCAAGCTGATGCTCCTTCATTACCCTTTTTATCATTGCCTCCAAAAGCCATGCAGGGTTAGCCCTGATATCATCCAAGTAGATATGAGCCACCCAAGTGGAAGTGGCCAGTTTATTCTTAAATGACCTGTGCTTACCATTGAATGTCTTAATCTGGAAGGTTCTACCATCATCCAAAACAAATGCATAAATCAACCACTTGCAATTTTTTATGCACCTGCGCTAAACCTAATGCGATCATTTTTCTTGAATGTTATCTGCTTTCCCTCTCTAATTGAATGCTCCTTAACAACTGTCTTGAACTCAGAAACTGACCCAAATAACATTCCTAACTTGAATGTTCGATTTTTCAAATCAGTTTCAGCCCTAAATTCTGGATACCTAGGCATTCTCTTCCTCACAACGTCATCATCAGATGAGGACCCATCTAGGCTTACCAATTCATCAGATGGTGCATAATCACTGAGTCATCCATAACTGTTGATTTCTCCTTTTCCACACCATTCCCACTACCACTCATCCTTCCCCATTCAACATCTTTATCAACATATGTGTCATACAACTGTCATAAAATTCTGAGTCTTCTAAGTCACCATCACACTCTGAACCATCACAATTTGTTTCATTACTTTTATAATTGCCTGTGTTCTACCTCATTAACAACACTGTCATTCCCCCTATCTCCTACCTGATGAAAAACACTAACCTACGTCATCAACAACAAAATCATTATCCATGTGTTCTACCTCAAGAACAACCAGTCATTGCAACTGTCCTCCACACATACCTGACCTTCTTCCACAATGGTAGGTCTTCCTTCATCAAATTCACCATACTCCGGGAAAGATCGTGACTTCCAATATCCTATACTTGGCACATCAGCTAACTATCTATCCATGTCCTCCTCATTGATCTCCTCAATAACTACAGAATGATTCTTCTTATACCCATCTGAACACTGTTCCTCCCCATCAAGAACATCAAACAGTGTTCTGTGTTCAATGTAGACTCCAGCAACAATGTGTGGATATAGGCTATTGCACGCAAGGATAGAAATATCATTTCGAACCACCGTTTCGGTCAGCTCGAAAACGGAAACAATTCGAAAACGCAATGGACACGCAGAAAAAATATGAAAACACGTAGAAACACAAATACAATCTATTAATTTGAAAAGATAAGCTTAATAATTGATTAATTGAGTAAGTTTATTGGGCCAATGTCCATTTATACAAGCTAACATCAAGTTTGAGACCAAAAAAAAATGTTTGACACGAGGCGAAAATCACTTCAATTAGTTTTAAACAATTAATTTTTGTAAAACAAACACATTTTTACATGTACATATGATCATTTTAAATTAAATATGACATGTATAACACTTTTAAATTAAAATGAGTACAAATTTATTATGTGCATGTTATTATAATACTAAATTACTAATTTAAATTGTGTCATCAAATTACTAAGTAATATTATTTCATTAATATTAAAAATATTACATGAATAATATTTACAAACATAAATACTTGATTTTATATATTAAATATACCATAACATTAATTACAGTTATTTTGATAAGTTAATTAACAATAATAAGTTATTTATTAATTATAAGGGCTCTTAACAATTATAAAGGAAAAAAGAGGGGCTAAAAAGACATTTATGTTAATTAAAACAAAATAAAAAGGGCAAACAGTGAGTCGGTAATCCACTTCATTCCAATCGCACAAACCAGAGAGAGAAAGGATCAGAGATTCCGATCGACTACGAGAGAGAAGATCTGAGACTCCAATCGATGAAGAGAAAAAAGACAGATCAACGAAGAGAGAGAAGACAGATTGAAGAAGAACCAGCACCGGCAAAGAAGAAGAAGAGAAAAGAAGAAGAAGATCGTACCTATAGGAGACTGGATCTGGACACGAGGACGACCCTTGGTAAGCCGCTACCTCATCTCCTTTCGATTTTTGAGCTTGTCTCTTTTTGTCTATCTCTCTTCTGTTTTGCTGGAGAAGCTGTCGCAAGGGAAGAAGTTCTCCCTTTTTTTGGCTAAAGGAGTTTGAAGTCTGAACACTTCAAGTTGAATCAAGTCTCTATTTCGACCGAAACAGTAATGTCAAGTCCCTGTTTCGACCAAAACATTACTGTTTCGATTACTGTTTCGAACGAAACAGTAACATTTCACTCGAAACGCTGGAATTTTAGTTTTTTACCCTTGTTTCGTGTCCATGTGTTGAAAATCCAAAACATTTCGGACGTTTCGACACGATATTTCAATCCTCGATTGCACGTCATAAAAACCTGAGCGTCTTTATGCAAAAATAGTAGACCAGTATTCAAGTCCTTCCTAGGTATGAGAAAATAATAACTCACAATTTCCTCTCCATATCCTAACTCTTTCACCATTTCATCAATTTCCAATAAGGATACGAGGTCTGGATGTTTGTGATGAAAAAAGTCAACCTTGCCACCAACATATGCCATATTTGAGTTTTTCTAAAATTCACCATCATAGTACAATTTGATAGTAAAATACTTAGAATATTCATCTGCAAAATAGAATGTGGACCACTGCACAATCCTTGGTATATAATATCTTAATACACTATGGGCTCGTTTGGTAGAGGTATTATGAGGGGATTAAATATTAGGTTGTACTATTTTTTATTTAATCGGGCCTAATACTTTGTTTGGTAAGCAAATTTGATATCGTATTAATTTCAAAAACGTATACTTATCGTATATTTTTTATATATTAGACTTGTATTGTGGAGGTATTTTAATACCACCAAAAGAGGTGGTATTAGATCCAACTCAAACATATTATTTTACACATTTACCATTATAACCTCCCAATTGATAAAATCAAATTGTTATCAATGTAACAAACACTGATTTTAGATATTTTTGTTAATTCAACATTAATACTATAAAATAATTCCTTAACCAAACAACCGATTGGATTAAATAACTATTATTCAACGTTTATATTGTGTATTACCAAACGCTATATAAAATTACGTATTATTCTAATACCCTATTTAGTCTTGTCTATTGTCCTGCTGTATTGTATTAGACCGGATTATTTTATCTAATCCATTCATTTCTAATACGGCAACCAAACGAGCCCTATGGGGACCACAACCATAAAGAACCACATGCATAAACAAATCAAAAATACATGGAACACGTTGTTCTTCTATGAGTTTTACATGTTGGCAATGCCACCATTGTTGACAAACTTCATTCTTTTGAACAAATCGTTAAAAAATTCAAATTTGTTTACACTTTATCAACATTAATTACCGTAATTTGGAATCGATCATTGATCTTCCCACTACTGACCCTTGCACCAAGAGGCCATTAGAATGAAGTGGAGGTATATGACTTTGTCTTCAACCCACTTGTGAGGAAAACCCTAGAAGAGCCCCAAATCAATTTGAAACCCAGTGAAGAGGTGTGTTCTTATGATGACATGTCCACGTGCAAATTACGGGCTATGGGAGATGTGAAGGAGGTGGGAAAGCAGGCGAAATGGCCATAATGCCCCTTACGCGACTCTCACGTGCTGTCTTCTGTCAGCCATTTAGATAGAAGTTAGGACTATAGACGAGATTGATCAAATGTATAAAGGTTAGGACTAAATTGGAAAAATTGGAACATTAGGGACCAAAGTTCTACCCTCAGGGGCTAATAGTGCAATTTACCCAACTTCTATTTATGAAAAATGGACTGCATCTTGATAACATCACTAGCCATCATCAAAGACATAGCATCAGACCTTTATAGCATTCACCATTATTGTAATGGAAAAAAATTGAAGCTTTTACAAAATACTAAGAGTATCTCCAACCCTTTCCCTTTTTTCAAACTCAAATTAAAAATTTGGGTAAAAATCTCTAAAAATCTTCACCAGTGCTACACTCAAAACCATATCAAATCAAAGAAAATTTAAATTTTTACTCAAATCGAGGGAGACTCAAACCTTTAATCAAATCACCAATTGTTATATTTCATTCTCCTTTAAAGATCTAATAATCATATTCTATCTCCTTTAAATTTGGGTTTATCCTTTTTTAACTTCGAGTTTCTCCATTAGAGTGTTTTGTATTAAATCAAGCTTTTTAGTTAACTCAAATTTAAGTAAAAATTTGAGTCAAGGTTGCAACAAATAAATCTGTAAACAAAAAGTGTGCAAGTATACCTATCACTCTTATCCAAATGTTCTCCAACTATTCACTTCCCCTTAATATACACCCACCCCAATCCACTTATCCATCAAAATACAATGGACAATACAATAACAACCAATCCAGTAAATATTGCGTAATCATTGATTGTTTTTCCAAGTTAAAAACACACAACATAAAATGAGAATTAGCCATTGGAATGTCCAAAGAACTAAATTTCGCTTCAAAACTGTCGAAACGTCCAAAACGTTTTCGTTTCCATGGAATCGAAACCAATCAATGATTGAATCAAAATACCTATGTTTCGAGATATTTTGGCATATTTCGAGGTGTTTTGGTATGTTTCGATCAATGTTTTGCCAACAAATTTTCAATTTTCTCTTTGTTTTCATCCTTTCAAAGTTTCCAAAACATTTCAATAACGTTGTTGTTTCCAAGTTGACCACAACTACTGAAAGGAATTTTGATCCTTGGGAATAACCCTTAGCCAAAAAACTCTCATTTCGAATTTGCCCAACGAAAAACTCTCTTAATCATAGGTGCTTTTGGATTGAGTGCTCCAAATCTCTCTACCATATTTTTACGTCAATATTCACACCTAGCCAACAAGACTCTACATCCACTCTAAACATCCCGTCCTTATCGACAGCAACTAAAGGAAGTACTTTAGGCATTCCTTCTACCCATGCAACCTCCAAACACAATTTCCTCATTTTGTGATGCAATCTTGTTTCCTGTCTTTCATCGTTCATGTGATGGATACTCATATGGCAACGCATCATTAGTTGAGAAACCATTTGCAATTCATAACGCATATAACTGGTTTTGTAATGCTGCTTTATTCTTTTGATGGTGTAGAGAATGGGATTGCTACAGATGCCGTTGGAATAGCCGTGAGTTGCATTCACTATGCATACCATTGTACCTAATAGAATCCCCAATCATTCATAGAAACATTATAGCTCAAATTGTCATAAAAAATGAAAAACTCTCAAAGTAGAGCAATCTTCTTCTTCTTTTAGTTGGGGTGGAGTAATCAACAACACAATTTAAGCACATACACACTGGTATGAAAACATAAGGCTACTTAGCTACCACCATGTCCCATTCAAATATCTTCTTGTTAAATCATACATATATTTTTACTGCTTCCAATTTTCGGGGGCAGATAAAAAAAATTTCCCTAAACCCTCTTGTTCTAATCCATGGTTGAACACTAAACCTTTATTGACTTGGCTGTCTCAAGGCCATCCCCGCATTGTGGTATGAAAACATAAGGCTGCTTTAACTACCACCATGTCCCACTCAAATATCTTCTTGTTAAAGCATACATAGATTTTTGTTCCTTTCATTTATTAGGCCAGATAAAAAAAGGTTCCCTAAACCCCCTTGTTCTAATCCATAATTGAAACCTAAACCTTTATTAAATTGGCTGTCTCACGGCCATCCCCACATTGCGTTACCAGCAGGTCATTAGTAGGAAGACAAGAGTAGAAAAGAATAGCTATTGCAAAGAATAGATGTAAGCTCACACAGGAAAAAACTTACCAAATACGGATGGCATATATACATATACAAATAAAAAACTCTACCACTAAATGCAAAACAGTAGTAATTTTCATGTCTTTCACTTAAAAGAAAGAAAAAATTTGAAGAGGAAACATGTACTGTACAAACCAAAAAACAGTCATGAATTTTTGAACGGTCAGTTGAAATGAGATTGTGCAGTTCAACCATCTTACCCTAGCAAACGCTTCTAAGAAATGACAAAAAAAGCTAAGTCTCCAATTTTGCAATCTCAGCATCACTGAGGGCCAACCAAGGCAACAGAGCATACCGAAATTTAAAAAATTGATGCAGATTTTATGAGGTACTGAAATATCTGTAATGGAATATGCCGCAACCAATTGAAAATGTTAGAACTAAACATTTTCTAAATAGCTTAAAATTAAGTGGCGAGACTATAAAATTCTAGTGCTTTGAGAAAAACACAGATATATCGCAGCACTTTTGGCACTTGATTTATATATTATCGTTTCAATAACTCTACATAAATCCTAAGGAAATGCAGGGAGTCAAATTTGTAAAGCTAAATATATAGATATATCCCAACAAAGAAATTAAGTTGTAAATAGATAACCCATTATGAATGAAAAGCGAATTCGGTTGGGGAAGTCATTCGGTCGTACATACCTGCAACAGTGCGTGGATATCGTCATCCGCAACAAAATGATGCGCATTTTCAGATGACACGCGAAGGCGATTGACCCGACTGTTACGACATCGGCAAAGTAGTTGAAGACAACCATAACGAATCTCTTTCAATAAGCAGAAGCTTTTTGAATTTGATGAGTGGATATGAGTGGCGTACAAAAGAATATGATGTTATTGTAGACAATTCAAAGCAACAATACGTTCCTCTCCTCATTCTGCAAAGCCATTTGATTTCAACTATGCCCTCCCTCTTCCGTCTGCTCTACTTCTACACCCCTCTCCACCCACACTGAGTTTAGCCTAACCTAATCCAAGTGTATTACGTCATCGTGGATTAATATGTAGATTGACCAGATGAGCTTAATTCATTACGGCTTTAGCCGCAAACCCCCACGGACACCCAATTAGCTATAAC